ACACACACACACACACACACACACACACACACACACACACACACACACACACACACACACCCCCCCTCTCTCTCACTCTCTCACACACACACACACACACCCCCACCCACCCTCTCTCTCTCTCACTCACACACACACACAGGGTGGATTATGGCTATAAAACATCATCAATCTGACCACGCGCATCACACAACCTTATCAAAACAAACACACTAGGACCTTGTAATTATAATATGAACACAACATTAACATATGTAAATGAGCTGCGTATAATCGGACGTCGACAGCTGATAACGGTTATACTCACCTCTCCTTCATTAAATGCTTGATTCGCGATATGGCGCTCTCGTCGATCTTTCTCAGAAACGTTTTAAATCTCTCCCTCTTGTTTTCCAGCATTCTTCCTCTACGCAGATCGACACACGCCGACAAAATACGCCGTTGAACGAGGATGCGATGATCCGGTTTCTATCCGGCGTCCCATGAACGCGGCCTGATTAACAAAATGAGACAAAATCGGACCAAGCGCTGGCGGCCAATCAGCGCGCATCTGATCAGCCGCGGAGCCCAATCACGGCGCGACACTCCCTCTCGGACTCCGCCCATGCCCTTTTATGGGCAGGACGCGTGTCTGCATGCAACGTGGTGGTAGGCTGAGGAAGTCAGGGTGGAGAACTAGTGTGGAAGGCTGATTATACACTGATTGTATTACAGACCGCCCTAGTGTTTTTAACTCTGTTCTCACATGTTTTAATACGATCATGAGTTTGAACAGGTCATGCGCGTCTAAATGTTCACTAGTGATGGATTTGAGACATCTGTCTAACTATCTATTAGGGATGGAAAGATTCCCCGATTCGCTCGGTGCATCGGCAAAAAAAGTTAACGATGCGATGCATCGGTTTAAAAAGTGTGCATCGGCTACAAGTTGGCATTTGTATCGCGATGCATCGTTTCTAACATATTTGCATCGGTAAAAAACGATTTATTTATATATAATTACTAGTGGATGGCTACACTTTTATTATTTAGAAAGTGACCAATATTTTATATGTAGATTGATTTCTCCTCTCGAAACTGTTTCTCAAGCGCGTTCTCTCATCACCGCAGCGCGCGAATATGACATATCACAACAACACTACAAAAAAAAAGCAGGGATTAAAGTCCAAAACCTGACTTGAAATAACCTAACAAATCTATCGGGGCTAAAGCAGTTCCATAAACGACAGTGTAAATTCACACAATCGAACTAGCCTAATTTGTGGATGCTTAATCTTAAGCAGCCCTTAATGTCGATCATGGATCAAATCGATCCACCATGGCAAACAGCGAATATATCTGTGCTGTTTAATGCATTTGAGACGTTGTGTTTTCCTCAGTGCATAACTGACATGTCACGAGTATATTTTTCCGCTGTAAATGTTAGAAAGTCATGCAAATATATCCATTTTGCTGTCAGGAGTGAGCGAGGCATACGCGAGTGAACAAGCAATAATTCTGAGTCAAATATGCATTTTGCTCAAATATTTGTTGTTGGACATTAAATGTGCCTTTTGTAGAATTTTAAACCTACATATAGGTGTATTCTTATGATAGCAGTGCCTGTAAAGGGACTATTGTAATGGGTAAATCAAATGTAAGCTAATACAGTCCTAATTACCAAGCTTACTACTTAATTACTGCTTAATAGCAGTTAAAATGTAGTTTTAATTGAGTGATTTTAACTTTTAGTTTAGTGATTTTAATGCTTTAAAGAGCAATGTTAGATTGTAAAGTTCTAATGCTATCTGTTCTATCTAATAAGCCTGGCCTATTTGGTAAACTTGTTTTATGAAACAGGCCTCGAGGTGTTATAGAAGTCAGAAGACACATACATAAGTTAATTTATGATTTGCTGTCTGTCTGAACCAAATAAATAAATGCGATCATATTTTTTCCATTGCATCGAATCGCATTGTGTTGAATCGGATTGAATCGAAATCGCACTGCATCGTAACAGGGGTGAATCGTATCGTATCACATCGCTAGCTACTTCATATGTATCTTCAATGTATCGTATCGTTGGCTATGCATCGAGATGTGTATCGCATCGGCCTCAGTTATGGAGATGCACATCCCTACTATCCATCTATCTATCTTTTTTTTTCATTTCTCTTATTTGAATCACACATATGAAATACTTCAGTCCCCCGGCTACATAATTTCATAATCAAATCACGCTGTGCTGCAGAAATGACCATTTCAACACAATTTTCCCCGGATCATCTCGTCGCTTTTGCACACATGACTGCGTCACATGACATCTCATGACCCGCATACGCCCTTTTATGCATAAAACATAGCGGGAGCAATGTGTGTGCAGTCAGTATTTGGAGGAAGGAGTTGACACAGCAGCTCACGTTACACTCACCATCCGAACAGAGGAGGCACTGTACCCACTGCAGGACAAATATCAGATCCACAGCCAGTTCCTGGTATCAGACCGCAGCTCGTCTGACCTCTGGATGTTCCTCATGGAGACTTCTGTCATTTCATGAGCCCAGTTTGTTCAGTATAATTGTGAGGTTACAATGCACACTGGAGTTTGTCAAAAATTGGCTTTAAATGCCATCTGCAGTTGATTTCAAGACTTACTGCTTGCTACAATGCTTTTGTTGAAAAAGAGGCAGCAAATATTGCCAATCATACAGCAAACACTAAATGTTTATACAAAAACATAATGCAGTACTTCAAGAAAGTTTCTTGCTTATGCTAAACTATTCTTCAGCTGTTAAAGGAAAAGTTACCCCAAAAATGAAGAAATGTAGCATTGCATCAGTGTCTCAGCAATGGATGCTCTGCAGTGAATGGGTGCCGTCAGAATGAGAGTCCAAACAGTTGATAAAAACCACAATAATCCACAAGTAATCCATGCAATCCAATAAGTAATTCAATTAATCCTGTGAAGCCAAAAACTGCGTTTGTAAGAAACAAATCCACCAAATTGTTGCTTCTGGTTAAAATACGAGTCCATAATCCATGATAACGCATGATAATGTGGTCTGGTCTGAATCAGGAGAGAAATCTGCACAGATCAAGCAGCGTTTAAACAGCTCTAAACACATATGTGGCTGTATTTTGATGTGAGAGACAACAGGAGATGCACTTTTTCACTGGAGGAAGCGTTATTATGGATTATGGATTTCTATTTCAGCCGGAAGCAAGTTTAAAATGTCTTAATGCTGGATTTGTTTCAGCTTTTGTCTTCTCCAGATGTTAACTGATGGACTGGAGTGCTGTGGATTACTTGTGGATTATTGTGATGTTTTTATCAGCTGTCATTCTGACGGCACCCATTCACATCCATTGGTGAGCAAGTGATGCAATGCTACATTTCTCCAAATCTGATGACGAAACAAACTCATCTCGGATGGCCTGAGGGTGAGCACATTTTCCGCAAATGTTAATTTTTGGCTGAACTACTCCTTTAGATCAGCTAAATATTTGACCAAACGCACAAACGTTGAAGATCGTCCTCTCCGCCAGCTCTACAGACAGATGGCCTCCAGGTTCTCAGCGTGTCGCTTCACTTCAGGTGTTCGTCCTGCTCTCCAGTGTCACCCATAAGATCTCTAGCTCAACTGGTTTTGGGTTTCCACTAAGCAGGGCCTGAAACCGCTCACCTGTGCAGCGTTGCCTGGCTACCCTCATCTTTAATTTAACACGGCAGACTCGACTGCAGACGGCCGCGTACGCCTCGCTCTTCACCATGCAGGAGTCAGAGAAGACGACGTGCGACCCAGAGCCCATGCAGAACGGAGAGGCCATGAGTCCGGACGCGCAGGACTCCAAAGGACCGCCGGGGGACGAGGAGAACCAGGGAGCCGTCCCGTCGGCCCCGCCGCTTCCCCAGGAGCCTCCTCCGTGTCCGAGGCCCAAACTGGTGTTTCACGCACAGCTCGCGCACGGGAGCCCGACGGGACGCATTCACGGCTTCACCAACGTCAGGGAGCTTTACGCCAGGATCGCAGAGGTCTTCAACATCTCCGCTTCTGAGGTACAGCGAGTCTTTGGTACTCAGCAAAATTTATTTTTTGGGTCAAAGGGAAAGGTTGCTGGTCTGAGGAGTGGTGTGTGGGTCATTTGTTTCTTGGGAAGTATGTTGGAGTTTGCTCTTAAGGTAGTAAATGTCGTGTGTACATAAGTTGTTGAAAATTGCTAGATAATATATCACCATTACATTAGTTATTTTGATCATTATTAAAATTGATAATATTCTGAAATTTTTTTTTCGGTTACAAAATTATGCAAAAATAATTACCTACATGCTAGTGGCTAGTAAATGGGGGGAAAATACAAATGGATAGATAGATAGATAGATAGATAGATAAATAGATAAACAAATAAATGAATATTTTAATTGATGCCAGGAGCAAATAAATAAATAAATACAAATAAAAATAAATAAATAAATGTTACATGTTGAATAT